AACAAAGAAATCTGACGAACTGGTCTCCCGGTGGGACAGAGGATCTACAACGCTAAAATCCGGGGTTCGATTCCCACGGTGGACACAGGAGATAGCCTAATGTGGCTTTGTTCTAAAACAAAGAAATCTGACGAACTGGTCTCCCGGTGGGACAGAGGATCTACAACGCTAAAATCCGGGGTTCGATTCCCACGGTGGACAGTGGACACAGCCTAATGTGGCTTTGTTCTAAAACAAAGAAATCTGACGAACTGGTCTCCCGGTGGGACAGAGGACTTACAACGCTAAAATCCGGGGTTCGATTCCCCACGGTGGACACAGCCTAATGTGGCTTTGTTCTAAAACAAAGAAATCTGAAGAACTGGTAGAGAATTTTAAAGAAGCACGTGATTTTAAACTTCTGGATTTTTCTGGTATACGACTGTTTACGATGTCACTAAAGTAATTGTTATTATTATCGTCACTGTTTCTAGTTCCTTCTATTCAGTTAGTGAAGTCAATTCGTCTTAGAAACTTCGATAGTTCTTTCTTATTCACGGATTTTTGAAGTGTGACCAGGAATTGAGTTTGTTTTTCGGTAATGTTTTGATTTTTTCCTTAGTTTCTAAATTTTTCTTGATTCGTTATAATTGTGATTATTTTTAGGGTTTAAAGGTAGAGAGCTTTTATTCTAACCTTTGAGAAATATTTACTAATAATTCCGTACGAAAGTCACTCAAAATATTACCGATAGAGGGCGATAACAATTCCAACTGATAGATATTTATCATTCATATTTGTACTTGTTTTTATAGAGCAAACCGTCAACCGCGGGGAATCGAACCTCGGATTTTAGCATTGTAAGTCCGTAAATTCAAGTAGTCAGAAAAACCCATACGATCAAGATGTAATATAAAATGATAAAAATCATATAACACGAGCGCTTTCGAAAGGTGGACCTTTCTTCTTCAGGGGCAAACTGGGCTGTAAACGCTTGTTATTTCTAGACAGTATTATTAATTACTATACAGTTTATCTAGCAGTAAATTTTGATGTTTTTAAACATACTTTTCTCTCTTTAGGCGGACGTCAACATGGACGCTGTGCTGTTTTGGACCATCCTTGTCTCTGTCTTCTGTGGTTTTGTTGTGTTGCAAGAACAGGAAGATGCAAAAGTGGTCGAAGTTAACAATCAGTTTGCACTAAATCTCTTGAAGTCACTGGATAGGAAAAATAATGTTCTTATCTCACCTTGGAGCTTATCCGTGTCTTTGGGGATGGCTTATCTAGGTGCTGCTGGTGGTACTGCTCAAGAAATGGAAGAAGTTTTAGGTTATCGCACTCTGGGGATCGAAGGTGAGTTTCTTCATAACGGTTTCAAAAAGGAACAGGGTAGAATCAACAGCATCCAGGAACAGTACCAACTCAGCAGTGTAAACGCAGTGCTCATTCACAAAGGATACACCATTTCCAAATCTTACTCAGATGGTTTGGAAGACTATTATCAATCCTCTTTAAAAGAGGTAAATTTCACAGACCCTGAGACGGTTTTGCAGTGGGCTAACGCATGGGGCTACTGGGCTTCTAAGAGCAGTATCCAAAATCTCCTGAGAGATTCGCCGTCGAAAACCACTAAGCTATTGTTGCTAAACGGTGTTTATTTCAAGGGGAAGTGGCTGAAACAATTTGACCCTAAAAACACGCAAGAGGAAGTTTTTACCACTGAAAACGGTCAAGAGGTTGTGGTTCCGATTATGCACGAGACGTTCAATGCTTCCTATGCTGAGTATCCAAAGCTTGGTACCTATGCTGTAAGCTTACCTTACACTGACGAAGAACTAAGTTTTATAGTGCTTCTTCCATCAACGAACAGTGACCTAAAGACTGTGGAAAAGGGGCTTACGACAGCTATATTGGATGACATCTTAGCCCACATGACATCTGAACAAGTTAGAGTTGGCTTACCTAAATTTGAATTAAAATATAACCACAAAATGAAAGAAGCTCTGAAGAACATTGGCATGCGGTTAGCGTTTAGCGAGATTAAGGCTGACTTTTCTGGAATCACCGGAAAACGTGACTTGCACGTGGAAGAGATTATTCATCAAACTGTGATACAAGTAAGCGAAGAAGGCACGGTGGCGGCAGCAAACAGCGTTGTTCAGCTCGGCAATAGACGAAAATCCTTAGAGTTAACTATTAATAGACCTTTCTTGTTCTTTATCCGTGACAACAGAAGTGGGATCATCCTTTTTATGGGCCGAGTTGTCATGTTGTAGTACTAAAAGACAAACAGTCGTATATGTTATACTTTGATTTGTTATTTGTTGTTACTCATCACGACGAGGAATAAAATAACTTAATATTAAGTATCATCAAGATTACATTGGTCTTGTTTTATCACTTTACCTTAGATAAACGTCGAAATATATTGAACTTAATATGGATGTTTAAATATTATGTAAGATATATTTTACAAAAACCGTCCAGATAAATTTAAAAGAATCAACTCTTGTGGTATCCACACACGTCTGGTAGTCTCCCCGTGGAACAGCGGCACG